ACCGCAGTAGCCCATGGCGATCTTACCAAGAAGATTGAAAGGCCAGCAAAGGGCGAGATATTTGAACTGCAGCAAACAATCAACACGATGGTCGGCCAACTACGAACATTTGCTTCTGAAGTCACTCGTGTGGCTAGAGACGTCGGCACCGAGGGCATCCTTGGCGGGCAGGCCGACGTGGCTGGAGTACAGGGCATGTGGAACGATCTGACCGTCAACGTCAACGCCATGGCCGACAACTTGACGACGCAGGTTCGTGACATCATAAACGTAACGACGGCCGTGGCCAAAGGCGATCTCACGCAGAAAGTTCAAGTCGACTGTAGGGGAGAGATATTCGATCTCAAATCTACCATTAACTCCATGGTGGACCAACTCCAGCAGTTTGCTCGAGAAGTGACAAAGATCGCCAAGGAAGTAGGTACGGAAGGCCGCCTTGGCGGTCAAGCCACGGTACATGACGTCCAGGGAACGTGGCGGAACCTCACGGAGAACGTCAATTACATGGCCATGAACTTGACTACACAAGTACGCGAAATCGCCAAAGTAACTACTGCGGTAGCAAAGGGAGATCTTACCAAGAAGATTAGCGTGGAAGCCAAGGGAGAGATTCTCGAGTTGAAGAACACGATCAACTAGATGGTGGATCGCTTGGGCACCTTCGCTTCTGAGGTAAGCAAGGTGGCCCGCGAGGTTGGAACTGAAGGCACCCTCGGAGGGCAGGCGCAAGTCTCGAACCTGGAGGGAAAGTGGAAAGACTTGACGGAGAACGTCAATACCATGGCGTCGAACCTCACCGTTCAGGTGAGAAGTATATCTACGGTCACTCAGGCCATCGCCAACGGAGACATGAGCCAAACAATAGAGGTCGAAGCCAATGGGGAGATCCAGGTGTTGAAGGAGACGATTAACAACATGGTCGGACGCCTATCAAGCTTCTGCTATGAGGTCCAGCGAGTTGCAAAAGATGTGGGGCTCGGCGGAAAGATGGGAGCACAGGCGGACGTCGTTGGTCTCGATGGACGGTGGAAAGAGATTACCACCGATGTCAACACAATGGCCAGCAATCTAGTAGGTAACCCGGATGCCACGACAAATTTCCGATCTATCGTCAGTCGTTATTAACCATATACAGACAACCCAAGTCCGAGCATTTTCTGACATCACCAATCTGGCAACCGACGGCGATTTTAGCAAGCTTGTGGATGTGGAGGCGTCTGGCGAGATGGATGAGCTGAAGCGCAAGATCAACCAGATGATTTCCAACCTCAAAGACAGCATCCAAAGGAACACTCAAGCCCGTGCAGCGGCCGAGTTGGCGAACAAAACCAAGTCGGAGTTCTTGGCGAATATGTCTCACGAAATTCGGACACCGATGAACGGCATAATTGGCATGACTCAGCTAGCGCTTGACACAGATTTGACACAGTACCAGCGGGAGATGCTCAACATCGTCAAGAGCCTAGCAAATAGTCTTCTGACCATCATCGACGACATCCTGGACCTGTCAAAAATTGAAGCCAGGAGGATGGTGCTGGAGGAGATACCATATACGCTCCGGGGGACAGTTTTCAACGCGCTAAAAACGCTAGCCGTGAAAGCCAACGAGAAATATCTGGACCTTACGTTTAGGGTCGACAGCTCGATTCCGGATTACGTCGTTGGTGACTCATTCCGCCTTAGGCAAATCATCATGAACCTGGTGGGCAATGCTATCAAGTTCACTGAGCACGGACAGGTCAGCCTTACCATCAGAGAAGATGCGGGATTATCTCAACTTGAGTCCGGTGAATACGGTCTCGAGTTTGTGGTCAAGGATACAGGAATTGGCATTGCAGACGACAAATTGGACCACATTTTCGGGACATTCCAGCAGGCCGATGGCTCCATGACACGTAAGTTTGGCGGTACAGGTCTCGGCCTCTCAATCTCCAAAAGGCTCGTTAACCTTATGGGAGGGGACATTTCTGTTAGCAGTGAAGCTGGCAAAGGAAGCTGGTTCTGCTTCACCTGCAGAGTGAGACTGGCCTCTGGTGCTACAGAGTTCATCCAGAAACAGCTGCAACCGTATCACGGCCATCGGGTTCGTTTTATTGACAGGGCGCTCCCTGACACGGCCACAGAAATTGAAGCAATGCTCAAGGAGCTCGGCTTGCGGCCAGTTATTTTGAGTCTCAGGAATTCGTCTGTCCTTTCTCACGTGAGGACCTGCAGTGCAATGCCCGACGACTGCGACGCCATCCTTGTTGACTCGATTGACACAGCGCGGAATTTCCGGGCATTGGACGAGTTCAAAGACTTGCCCGTTGTTTTACTGGCACCAGTGGTTCACGTCAACCTGAAAACCTGTCTGGAACTGGGGATCACCTCATACATGACAACGCCATGCCAGCTGGTCGACTTGGGTACCAGCATGATCCCTGCCCTTGAAAACAGGGCCACGCCAGCTATTGCCGAGAATACCAGGAGGCTGGAGATCCTCCTGGCTGAGGATAACACTATCAACCAGAGGCTTGCCGTCAAGATATTGCAGAAATATGGACATACTGTTACGGTGGCTGGGAACGGGTTGGAGGCCGTGGAGGCCGTCAAGGAGAAGAAGTTTGATGTCATTCTGATGGATATTCAGATGCCAATTATGGTAAGAGCCGTTCCTAAACTGTTCTGACACACTCTGATAGCGTCAAAGGGGGGATTCGAAGCCACCACCATGATTCGCGACTATGAAAAGAGCATAGGAGCCCGCAAGACGCCTATCATTGCATTGACGGCGCATGCAATGATTGGCGACCGGGAGAAGTGCATGCAAGGGCAGATGGATGAGTACTTGTCGAAGCCGTTGCAACAAAATCAGCTTTTGGAGACGATTTTAATGTGCGTTAAAATGTCAGAATAGTTGCAACTGCAGCGGTACACTCGTTAATTCGAGCCAAGATGAACGTCAACCAGTTACGGTAGCCGTAAAAATGTTCTTCAGAGCGTAGGCCTAGAGGCAGCTGGGCTATGTTTCGGAGACTCTCAGCGAAAGGTGAACAGTCAGAAAGCCTTAAGGGAGCCGCCATCCGCTGAGTGTGCGGGAGCATCAGATATACTTCGTGAGGTTGTCTCTGCAATTGTGACCAGATTATTCACCGACAGATAGATACGGTAGTACCACTTCACTATGGGCGGTGGGTAATGAATCCTGACCTGTGACTGACCTCAAGAATGGCGGGATGAAGAACGGAGCAAGGGTGCCCCACGTTGGGGGCTACGGGTACGATTGTTTGATCCCGTAAAACGGTACATTGATATCTTGGAACCAGTTTGACAGCCACTCCTCACGATGGTCACACCACATCGCATCTAGAAAGCACAGGAGGAAAACGCTTCCGAGAGGAACATGCGATGAGGCGTGTGCCGTGCAACCTAACTTACCCGCAGTCGCTGTTTCTGGACCGTCCTCCAACAAGCCATGTCGCATGTCTCTTGACCCCGCGTTGAGTCTGGGTGTCACTGCCGGGCAAAATGGAAGACCCAGCATCGGTCTAGATGCATCGGAATCGGATAACACAATTACACCTCTGGAGAAGCTCATCAATTCCTCCAACAAGGAACAGCCGAGCAGGAGTAGGCGTGGTGAGCTATCCTGGAAAGCCCGTGCCGACTGGATAGAGGCTAATGAGACTACAGAAGCCACCGAGGTCCTACCGGCTGGTGATTGGACGCGTGAGGACAAGGACTTCTGTCTGCTCGCATCGCCGACGGAGTAGATTTGCGACGGGGACAGCGTTGCTGATGCGAAATGCTCAGCCTCCACAAATAGCCAGTCTCATGTCTCCCCAACAGCATCACCGACAACCCCGCCTACATCGCACACATTTCACGTGAGCAATGTGTCGCACGACTACAGTTGCACCTCGTGCCCGATCGATCCTGCCCTCATGAGTTACCATTGAGGGGAAACTGATGGACCGAGGGAGGTACCTGGTTCATGCGGCTCGAAGCAGAGAATCTGCTCTTCGGAGGCATTGGGTGATGAGATGTATGACTGTGCGCTCGACGGCGCAACCATTGGCCTCTCATTGGCGACGACAGCTGGAAAGGAGCGTTGCCGAACTGCCATTGAGACAAGCGGGCAGCCTTCGTGTGGAGAAGAATGGCCTGACAATAAGCTTCCCTATTCGGGACTTCTGGCCATCGGTACGGAAGTGCGACACACAGCGATGATGTATCATCTGGTGTTTTGTCTGGCCAAACACAGCGCCATGCCGATCGCTGGACTGAGGACTTAGACGCGATGCAACGCCCGCACAAGCGCCGTGCCGCCCGTCCAACCTCTGTAGTGATGCCCTGGTCGAGGCCGCAGTGTCGCCCTGTCCACCACCGCCGGCAGTCCCAGATGCCTGACGGCGCGGCTGGTGCTTGGTGGATTGTAGCTGTTCGCTCCCTTTCACGACGTCGCTGACGGTCAGAAGCACACATGGCCAACAAAGATTTCTAGACTGCGCCTCCTACTAAAGTACATTGCCTAGGAAACGACGAGAGACTACAAGATCGCAGGACCGTGGTGAGCTCACGAGGAGCTGCAAACATGGCTTGTACCAGTACAGTCTATGGACGACGGGCTCGCCCACCGGGATGGATCAGGACATAGGCGAAATGGTGTCGTACACGAGAACAGTCGGAAGGGCAACGTTAGACTAAACAAGTCGGCATTACCCTTCACCAATCTGTACTGCGACTCGTCTCCTTGCAACAAACACCAAAAGACTCCGTTACGCTTGGTAAATACGCTGCCATACTCTTGAAAAGTTGCCAGTAAGGAGTATCGGGCCGCTCTCTACCCAGACCTCCTGACAAGAGCTGTCATCAAGTTCCTCCCCGTGCCGTGATACTTACCGTGCGCCTCGCTGATATTTGTTTTTAATCTCTAGAATGGCCGTATGTCATCATCATATGCAGCAATGCAACGCTGCACTTTGGGAGAAAAATCTTGAATTGCTGCCCTGACCGCAGCATCAACTCCGCCCCTCCATGCCGTTTCCCTTGTGCGACGGGCTTTCCGTGAGGCTAGTCTGCATGAATCGTGGCGCGTCCATCATACATCGATGTGTCAGTTTAGTTCCTGCCAGGCGCCCTGTTAAGTATGCTCACAGCGAGGGTGGCCGCAGGGTGCACCTCGCTCATCTTGGACAGCAGCAGTCGCGCGTGCGCCACTGCCGGCATATTGACGTACGATGGTGCAGCGTGCCATTTGGTGTCTGATGCGTAGCTGTGGTACGTGCCCACGTCCATAGGGTCATCATCGGGCTCCTTCTTGATCGTGTCTTCCGGGGACTTAGGCGGCTTGGCGGCGATATCGTCGTCTCTGTGGAGCTGTGGCATGGGCACGGGTTCGAGCATACCGTGTCCGGCCTCCTCGACGGCGAGACATAAAAGCCCCGCCGCACACACAAAGTACGGCACCAGCGGAGACACCCGCTGCAGGCCGAACACGCCAGCGTACGACTGTGAGAGCGCAAGGACTGACTGTGCGGCCTGTAGACAAATCTCGCGGGGATGCGCGCTGAGTCCTTCGAGAGGCGCGCTCACATGGGGCATGAAAAGGGAGAGCAGACAGAACTGGTAGTAGATACTGCATTCAAAGTGTTAGCGTTGTACATGGACCGCCAGGCCAGTGACGCAGTCACAGATGCCCCCATCGTCGGGAGACGAATATGTAGGCAAGAGTGCCTGTCCTGGGCTATTCGAGGATCGTATGCGGGGTCCTACTGGGTGAAAAGCACGAAAGGCGAATTGTTTACGTCTGTCTTGAGCATGGCAAAGAAGCTCTCGTACCAGTCGAGACACCGATGGTATACCAGCACCAGCTCATCGTTAGTGGCGGTTTGTGGCGACGCGAGGGCCTTGTACACCCATTCGGTGAGCTGGAAAATCTTGGCCGGGATGAGCTGCAGGCTGCTGAGTTGAGACCAGTGCTCGCCCGCTAGTGTCATGGTATTGGCGCGGTCAGTCCGCCATGCTGGGTGGTTCCTGTGATTGGGCTGATGTTCATGACACTCACGCAATTCGCTAGAGAGAACGGGCGCGTTGTTAGGCCCATAGGCGCAGGACGGCTGGTCAAGGGCAACCCCGTCGTCCCGCAACATTGTGACGTGCATCCCAGAAGGCTGGGCTGTTAGGAGTTTGAGTATTCTGTGCGACAAGGGAGGAGACACTTCTAGTCAGTTCTTGGATAGAGAAGGACGAGTGGGCCAAATCTACATACCGGACGAGCGAGATGGCCCCGCAATATGTCTTCGCGCGAACCAGGGCGTACTGGTTGTCCTGGCTTCCCGTGGCGACCGTTTGCTTCAGGCATAATTCTGTAATCGTTGCCGCAAAAGCCCCGGCGAGCTTTCTCGCCTCTGCCTCGTGACCACAGCTAAATTGATAAAGGGCCAGCATGCCAAGAGCTTGGATATCCGGCAGGCTGCTCGGCTGGCCATGGCCGCTTATGAGAGCGTCAGCCTCGTCGAACAAGGCCTGACTATCAGAACAGCCAGAGGAGGGAGACCCGTCCTGGGCCGCACTGACGAGATAGTTCTTCGGCTCTTGCTCGTGCTCCTGTGGATGGGCTTGCTGATGCTCGTCCACGATTCTCGTCGATAAGGCGAGGAGGGAGTTGACAAGCGCCGGAGAGCAGTAACGCCCCTCTCCGCTTGCAAAGTCCTGCAGAAAGGGGTCCTTGCAGAGGAAACAGAAGGGCAGATAGTCCCACGTCAGGAGGGACTCAAGATGGGTCCTGATTCTCTCGATCGACCACCCAGTACGCGTCCAAGGCGCGACCTGCTGCGGCTTTTCGTTCCCAGACAACGAAGGAAGGGAAGGGGGGGCGGCAGTGGAGCCCGGCGTCGTGAGCCAATTGGCCTCGGACTGCGATTCCGCCGACGGGTTGCGCTCGCTTGTCCTCCCGGAACATTCGTCGCTATCGGCTAGCGAAGACGCAGCGAGCAGGTTGCCGAAACAATGCGGACATGTTGCTGGCCGGACATCGGTACTGGAGGCCCGGGAAGAAGAGGTGGCCTGCGAGTTTCGACGGGGAGACGATGCGATGACGCCGGCGGGAACGGGTAGGGGCGGCCCAGAGACCCTGAGTTGGCTGGGGAGATTGTCATAAATGGACCGCCGGGTGACGGTACCGTCCACGAGGCCCTGTGCTACCTTGCGATACGTGTCGGCGTCGTCCATGGAGGAGAGTGCATCGAGAAGCGCATCGCTACGTTCATTGATGCGTCGCAATCGCTCGATCTCGGCGCGCAAGTCTTCCTTAGACTCCCGCCGGGAGTGGTCGAAGACGCACTCTTGACCTGCCTCCCTGCACCTTTCGCAGGGGTCCTCGCCGTTACACTGCAACAGAGTCAGATGGGTCAGCAGAGGCTGGACGTCGCCACGAAATTGGGTGCTTGTGCATCCGATGAGGTGCGACCGATGGGGGAGTTGTAAATGGCACCATTGAGGTTGCGACATAAAGCACGAAGACTCCGACGAAAGGTCGCAGACTCATAGATGGGCAATGTCTCGCCAAAGAAAGAATTTACTGTGGCGTGCCCCGGGCATCTATGAGCGCTCACCTTTGCTCTTTTTTTCCTGCAGCGTTGGCAGGCCATGCGAACCTGATGTCGTCGAGGCATGTCTGGCCTGTCACGGCCCTTGCTTTGGAGCACACAGCTGAAGCTCGTGACGACGATACCGCTGTACACTGATGGGGTTAACTGCGCAATGGAAAGCGGCGCCTTGCAGATGGTGATGAGGTATGCAGTGATAAAAAACGTGTTTTGCTTGACGTGACGCGATGTGAGGCAAAGTAAGGTCACAGGCTTTTGTTTGCCGCCCCGCCGACGACACAGCAGACCTGGACCAGGATTTTCTCTTGAAATACTGTCGTCGGCATGCTGACGGGATTCGCCGAGGGCGGCGACAAAGGCGAAGGGTACTCGGTGCGACGTACATTGATTGGTTCTGCGCTCGAACGTGTGTAAAAGCAAGTGGTCCCTGGTGGTCACTCCCAGAAGCCTCAGTGACCTTTTCTGGCTGAACCTTGGGGCCAGGAGGCGGAGAACGTATCGGTACTGCCTAGTACTCAGCGGGCGGCCTTGCAGGGTCGCATGGGTTTCTCGGATCAATATTGACTGGGGGGCAAGAACGCAAACGTCCGCCGTCCTCCCTTCGTCTCTTCCCCGACGTTTCCGCGGGGACAAGCAAGGGACTCTGTTTGTACGAACGACTTTTGGCGATTGACCAGTTAATGTTCCCTCGCTCGCGCAGGCCGTCGAAGCTATGTTGGTAGAATACCGGCCTCGCCCTACTATCAGCGCTGGACACAGTATTGATAGCTCGCGTGCGGACCGTCTGCGCCAGGCCGCTCCCCGTACAACCGCTGCACCAGCACCAGGAACTCGGCGCCCTCTGTGTGAGTGTGTCCTCGATACCAGGGTTTTCGTCTGATCAGCACAAATTACTCCAAAGGGTTTAGATGCGGGAGCAGCCTCGCATGCAGTCGTTGCTTTCCGGCAGACACCGTACCGAGGCGCCTCGCACCACAAGCTGTGGCGACATGTCGTCGTTGTGACGTGTTGCGGCGCTGTGGCTCTGCGGCGCTGTGGCTCTGCACCACTGGCGCGGGCGTGAATGGGACAACCGAAGCTGACTGACCCCTTCGACCCGCCATGTTGCAACGCGGCTGCTGGTGCAACGACACATACGTCATTGTGCATGAACAGCACAGCAAACCTGCGACAGGAAGCGAGGTACGGATACGGCGCAACGTCATGTCTCGCTTATTCTGGAGCTGCAGGGCGAGCCCGCGAACGAAAAGACATCAATCACCAACTCGCAAGTCTTCCGCTGTGGCGAGGGTATGTCGAGGCCTGAGATCACATTCTAACCCAGATCCAAGTCCTTTATAGCGTATGTAGACCTGCCTTCTCGTGTCCCTGAAGCGGGCCCGTCGCCACAGTCCCTTGATTGTTTCGAACTCTGTCTGCAACTGCCCTGCGAATTGACTTTGAGGCAACGGTCGACTCCACCACCTCCTATCCGTGCTTATAGTAGGCAAGTCCAAGCTCGACGTAACCGGCCCCGTTTCACGACCGCCATGCCTCGCCGTCACGAATACTATTATGATGATCTCTATGACCTTGGTTATGACCGCCGACGCCCGCGATCGACATCGCGGCACAGGACGCGACGGGCTTGTCCACGCTCTCGAGCAGGGCCGCGTGCACGAGGCCGGAGACATTTGCCTAGTCCGCCCTGATGCCTAGATCCGAGCACAGGCACCACAACCATGAGCGGGGCAGCCGCCGAGAACACCACAGCCGTCGAGGAGGAAACCGCCTTGAGCGCACTGACGAGGGGGCATTACACATATGATCGAGACCCTGACGCGAGGCCGACAAGGTTGAAGTCGGCAGACGGGCGCGAGAAGCTCGACCGTCACCATCACGGCCAACATTCGCGCCAACGCCACCACCACCACCACCGTCGCCAACACTCGGGCGCGGGAGGGTCTAGCGGGAACGGGTTTGCCGAAGCGGCAAGGGCCGCAGCGGCGGCAGGCTTGGTGGAGGCAGTCCTGGCGCGGCACAACCCGGATCGGTCAAGTCTCGCCGTAACGGCCGCAATTGGTGTGGCAGACGCGCTCGTTAATAAGGGGGACGGTCGAAATCGAGGGAGGCATATCGCGGAGAGCGTAATCGGTGGCTTGGCCATCGACCACATCGCAAATGGCTCCTCTAAGAGGACTTCACGTTATTAGTACTAGTCGCCCCGCCGTCGGGCGAGCCCGGAAGGGCGAGCAAGTGGCAGTTACGACATGATGATCGGCACAGAGTCTTCGGAAGTGCTCCGGAGCACCGAAACCGGATGTGGGTAAGGAGTCGGCTTGGATACGTACAAACAACTCCCGGTATCAAGGAGATGGAGCCGTCCTTGACAAAGTCAATTTGATACTCTCACACTTGCCTGATCTAGGTCTTCAGTTCTCCAAAGAACTCCTCGATCGGGTTGAGGTCGGGCGAGTAAGAGGGAAGGTATAACAGCACTATCCCAACACTATCACACATCTGTTGCAGCCTTTCGGGGTGATGGAAAGATGCGTTGTCCATGATCAGCATGGACTTCGGCCGTAGTGGTCCAAAGGAGGAAGATGTGGCGAAGCGAGCCAAGTACGTAATGAAGCGCGACATTCTCAAACCGGGGCTACTCACGTTTGAGGGTTTCCGTACCGACTCCCCATAGTTAGAAGATCAGAACCGCGTGGCGGTGAGGTTGGGCTCGGGCTTTGTATGCGAGGGACTTGCGAAATGCGTTTGCAACCCGCTGGCTGGTATTCTCACGCTGGGAGAGCACGAAGCGCTCCAGGCTTCTCTGGGAAAATGCGGCGGCAGGAGTCTACATAGTCTGACCTAGATATCCTACAGTTCAGATCCCATGACGAGAGCATCTTGATCTGCTTGCATTTTAATACAGGTTTTGCTCGGCCGCCCCTCGTATTCAGCCGCCCCTTGTGTCCCCTTGCGTCTCGCTCTAACTGGTCTCAACGGAATGTGTTCACAACTAGTCGAGCGACTGCAACGAAAAGTTTTCAAAATAGGGGTAACACAAAGGAAGAGACGAGCATCAGCATTTAAGCGGGGCTTCGGAGGTAGCACTGCCAGTCATGCGCATAGACACAAGGGGCCTCAGATGACGTTTCAAAAACAGCAAAACAGGTTTTAGGCCCCTGTGTCCGCCGTTACGTTGGTTGTCATGCCATTGAGTTGACATGTGGCCGCCGTTGTACTGGGATAGCCCCTGTTGTGCTGCATTGTTCGATGCGAGGCAAGGTGGCCGTATGCGCGTCTCTGCTTTGGGTCTGTTCGAGTGTGTTGAGTCGTCAGTGCAGGGGGATCGGTGCGACAGACTGCACGCTGGGATTTGCCGTACGTAACATCTATATTTAAGCTATGTTAAGGAACAGTTGCTGGCGGCGGATACAGGCGCATTGCGACGTGGAACCACGGCCTCTCCCCTTGTGCGGCTGGCTGCAGTAAGACGAGTCTTATTGAGAAACGCCAGCCCGCGAAACGTCTGGCAAACCAGCTGTGAGAAGGCTTGGTAGGCATGGAAGCCATAAAGTCATGTCGTGTCGTCGTAAGGCGGCCCATCTAAGCCAGGAGGTTGTCCCAGTAACGTTTCCTAGCGGCTACGGCGTCCTTGTCGCCGATGAACCGGTGCTGGAAGTAGTTGAAGACTGCGAACTCATCTCGGGCCATGACGTAGCAGTCTGGCCAGGCTTTGACCTTGCACCAGATCTGTGACAACGCGTACTCCAGGATCTTTCTGACCATCGGGTCAGAGGCGCCGTCCGGATTCTCGCGGGCAATGTCGAGCGCCTCGGCAACCTCCGCGTCCTGCGGCGGCTTCGGAGGCGCATTGGAGCCGCCCATGGTGCTCAAGGGCTGGTGGCTCAGCACAGGAGACTCGGACTCATGGTGAGGCATTGAGGGCGGCAAGATGTTTCGGGAGGTGACGGGTATGAGGGTATGAGCGCAAAAGGTGATGTTGCCACTGGGGTTGGCTTTGTGGTGAGGATCGCACCGATGGTGCTGCCGGCTGTACCGACGGGGCTGCTCTTGGATATCCTTCGGGGTGGACGGCGAAAAGGGACTGGGAGGCAGCGGTTGACAATCGCGGGCTGGGTATGTCATTTATGTGAGCAGGGTAGGGGTGGGGTTCGGCTGGTGTCAGACTCGCGACAATAATGACAATCCTTCCACATCCTTTCCTGCATTCTTACTTTCTTGGCATGCAAATGTTAAGAAAGTAGCCCAATACACACCTTATTCCTTAACAAGTACACCGTAACCCGCCCAAACTGCGCTCTGCGCAGCCGGCGGCGGCGGCGGCGATGGCGTCGGCCTCGTCCAGCCCGCCTCGCGATGATGATCGCTTTAACCTAGGTCCCAGGACCCCTTCCGGCTTAGCCAGGCAAGCGCGTGCCGCCCTTCTGCGCCACAGCCCCGCCACCCGTGGGGGCGGGATTGGCGTCTCTCGCTCTGCGCTACGGACGGCATACACGCCGTCATCGCCGCTTCACGCGGTGTCCTACGCTGCAGCCACAGAAGGGGCTCAGCGCGCTGTGCATTTTGACTCTAGCGAACCCGACCCGCAGCCCAGCGACGGCCCCGTCTCAATCGCCAATGCCGCTGACAAGCTCGTTGTCGCGCAGAACGAGGTCTATAGCGCCAAACTAGCCGTGTTCAGGGCATTCTGCTCCTCATTCGACGACGCAGCGAAACAGTTCACTTCTGGAACCGCACTTCAATTCGCCCAGAAGTTTTCCAGCAGCTTCCTGCAGTACTGGACCGACGTACTCGCCGGCACGCACACCAACCTCCCTCCGACGAAGCCCTCCTACGCAACTGTCGTCGGCGCCAGACGCCCAGCCCCAGCTGCTGCGGGGACCACCGCAGACCCTGTCACCGCAGCTCCGCAAAATCAATGGCAACAACAGCTGCCCCCGCGTCGTCAGGGGCAACGCAATCCGCTGCCTCCACCGACAGACGATCTCCGGGTCTTCGCCCGCCTCGGCGCCGGCCAGACCGCCGACATATCTCGAAGTTTCGCCGTGCGGACCCACATCGCCGACAAACTCGGCATCGACCAGAGCCGCATCCCGCAAGCCCATCCTTGCAAAACCGGATGGGCCATCCGCGCTGCTGACTTGGCAACCAGGGATTTTCTGACTGAGCGACAAACTGAATGGGCTTCAGACATCTCCGCAGAGATCGTTGAAACGCGACAGGAGTGGTACAAGTACGCAGTGCAAGGCTGCTCGCGCCGCCTTAATAACATTTTTGGGGAAGCCATCGACGACGAGAAGGCGATCCGAGATGAAGTCGCCACGCAAACGGGCCAAACTCCAGTGATGGTGATAACCGCGAAAGAGGACTCGGACCAGAGTCCGACCCGAACCCTGATCATATCCTTTGCCAAGGAAGTCAAGCACTACTGGCGCCTTTTTGACACAACAAGCTACGCAAGACGCATCACCAAGACCAGACCCCCGAAGCAATGCGACAATTGCTGGGACTACCACTCTCGCTATAGCTGCGGACGCCAGCCACGCTGCAAGAACTGTGGTAGGATTGGACACGCTTTGGATACCTGTACAGCCACACAGCAATGCGCCAACTGCCGCGGACCGCATGCGGTCGACTTTTCCCTGTGCCCGGCCCGTCCCAAGAAGATAAACGGAGTAGTGCGCAGCCTCAACAGGCCCGAGAAGGATCGCGTCTGTCGCATGGGCCTACGCCTCTTCCAACAGCACACAACAAAACCGGCATCCCCTCCGCGGGAAGTGTCCTCGAGCCCCGAATCCGAATCAGCGACAGCGAGCTACACCACCTCCACGTCCAGCCGGAGTACACCCACATCAAGCGACGCAAGCACACCGGAGCCTGAGAGGCAAAATACTGCACCACGGCCTAGCCAAAGACCCTCTGCCTCTGCGGTAGCTCCAGCTGCCCCAAACAGTCAAGCATCGCCAACTCCAAGCACTGACAGCGCTTCCAGCGTTAGGCACAGCACGGAAGCATCGGCAAGTCCCATCAAACCCACCCCAGCTATCCCCACGACCTCCGCAGATTCGGCCCCAGTCGAGCCTCGTCGACACACAGCGAAAGAAGTTTTCAGCCGCCCGTGAGGCAGAGCATCGAGATGTCTGAAGAGCCGAACGAGTACGTTGGGTATGGCCTAGCACCACCCGCAAGCCCCTCGCCGTCAGCGAGATCCTCGCTGAGCCCAGCTCCCTCGGTGTCCACACCCACGCCATCGCTCTCCTCTACGTGCCTCCTCGGAACTCCGGCTCCCGAGGTTCGCACCTCCAGCCCTCAACCAGCCACTTCGCCAAAGAAGCGCCGCCTCACCTCCCCAGACCCGTCTCTATGACTAGACGACCTAGACAACAACATCGCGACAAACGGCCCTTCCGGGTCTTCCAAGCCAATGTTGGCAAGGATGGCCCCTCGCACGACTGCGCGCTCGCCCTCGCCGACGCGGAACGATACGAGGTCATACCACTACAGGAGCCCTGGACGCAAGTCCGTGACTCCCGCTGCCTCACCAAGACACACCCGGCGTACGACACCTACTCACCGGTCAGCACCTGGGAAGACATCGACACCCGACCGCGCGTCATGACATATATTCGCCGGGGTGCAAGACTCTTAGCCGACCAGCAACGTCCCGCTCTCTCCCGAGACATTCTCTGGCTCGTGGTCAATGGCGTCACTCTGGTGAACGTCTACCGGGAACCGCACGTTGACACCGCCCTCGAAGTACTGTTCGCAAGGCCGATGCCCAGCCAATGCATCATCGCAGGCGACTTTAACGCGCGGCATCACACGTGGCAAGTTGGTCCCTCCCGCGGCCACGGCGGCCGCATCGCAGAGTGGGCTGCACAAAACGATTTAGCTCTCCTCAATCCGATTAACACGCCCACGAACGCCCACGGCAATACCATAGATCTGGCATTCTCGAATATTTCCTTAGCCGAGGCGACGGTGGAAGACCACCTTGCCACGAGCTCGGACCACTTCACTCTCAGCATTTCTCTCCCGGCTCTCAGGCCGGCCGCACTCCCACCTGGAAAGATTCTCCTCGCAAGCGACGAGGAACTCAAGCGGTTCACGGAGCTGGTTATCTCAGGGGCCACGATTATTCCCCAGGCAACAACAACAGCTGCAGATCTCGATCGAATCGCAGATGCAATTATAGACCTCATACAATCCGCAGCTCGCACGGCTGGCCGGCGATCCCAATGCAGACCGCGGAAGGCGCCCTGGTGGAACGAGGAATGTGCAGCGTCTGTTGCGGAGCTCCGCTGCATTAGACGGGGAATCCTACTCGGCTTCAACCGCGAGGTACAGCTCGCTCGTCGCGACCTGCGGCGTGTGGTGCGACGCGCGAAGCGGGCATACTGGCGCGACAAGGATGTGTTCAAGCTCACGCGATGGCTGAAGCGTGGGGTATTCCGTCCGCCACCCCTACAGGTCGGCGAGACAATCATCGAGACTCAGATCGGCAAGGCCGAGGTCTTGCGGCATGCTACTCTCGAGCGCAGAACTGCAGACGACGACATCTCCAACCCCTGGACACCGGCAGAAGACACCATACCCATCCCATTCTCGCCCAAGGTGCCCATCGAAGAAGTCCAAGACGCTTTGCTGCGTACAGGCAACACGTCTCCAGGGTCAGACAACATCACGGTACGCCTGCTCCGGACGGCATGGCCCGCTCTACGCTACCACATCCAACGCCTATATCAGGGGTGCCTGTCTCTTGGCTACCACCCTCTGAGGTTCAAGGAGGCTGAAGTAGTCATGATCGAGAAGCCGGGCAAGCGTGACCTTTCCAAGACACGTACCTGGAGGCCAATATCACTGCTCTCATGTCTTGGCAAAGGACTGGAGAGGCTTATCGCTCGCCGCTTGGCTTGGGCCTCGATACGATACGGTATCCTGCACCCACAGCAGATTGGCGCCCTTCCAAAGAGATCCGCGGTCGACCTAGTCGCCGCCCTCGTGCACGATATCGAAACAGCTCTAGCCAATGGCCAAGTCGCTACGCTAGTCACAATGGATGTACAAGGAGCTTTCGACACCGTCATGCGTAATCGACTTATCCTCCGACTCCGGCAACAAGGGTGGCCACCGCATCTCGTCAGATGGGCCGGCTCGTTCATGCAAGACCGCTCGGCCGCAATCCGATTCCAGGACGTCACAACGCCAGCGTCGCCTCTTCGATGCGGCCTCGCACAAGGCTCACCTGTATCGCCAATCCTCTTCGCTCTGTACATCGCCCCTATCTACCGCCTCGGGAACTCGGATGGTCGATTCGGCTACGCAGATGACACGGCAATGCTGCGCACCGGGCGAACGCTCGAAGAAACGACTGCTCTCGCGTCTCGAGATATGGAAGAACTCCTGGTTTGGGGTGCCGCCAACGGCGTCACCTTCGACCCGGACAAAACCGAGGTGATGCACTTCTCTCGGAAGAAGAGCCCCTCCCGGCCCTCCGTATTCCAAGGCGGTACCGAGATCGTCCCTGGAAACGCAATGCGCTGGCTCGGGCTCTGGCTCGACCGTAGGCTCTCCTTCAAATTCCATGTGGACGAGTGGTCCGCCAAAGCCAGGCGAGTAGCCAACCTCCTCAAAGGCATCGCAAACACCAAGCACGGCCCCCTTCCGCGCGCCGTCCGCAGAGCAGTCAAGGCATGTGTCGAACCGACCTTATTCTACGGCGCAGAGGCGTGGTATCCCGGAGAGGTGGCGCCTAGCCTTGCAAACCCGAACCGCATCGTGTCCACGCAAGTAAAGCACCTCGTGCTACGCCTGGACAAGGTCCTGAGACACGCCGTCCGAGCCGCCCTTCCCGTGTGGAAGACGACCCAAACCCCAGCCATACACCGCGAAGCTGGCACGCCGCCTGCGTCCATCGCACTCGCCGCTCAGCAGATCCGTTTCTCGGCACGCTTGAAGTCTCTCGACGGACGCCACCCCCTTGTTAAACGGGCCTCGCGGAAACCCCCTCGGGCGCTGCACACCCGGAACCCCAGCTCGACCCGACGTGTCAAGCCAACGTTCCAATCAAGGCTACAACGCGCCGACCAGCTCCTCCCGAAATGCCATCGGCCAGCGCCCCTGCCCCGCCACTATTCCGACACAGAAGCCAGCCCTCTTCAGACTGCAAACAAAGCCGAGACCGCTGGTGACTTCCTTGAATGGCTTGGAACCTCCGCCGCAGCCACGCTCATCGTCTACTCTGACGGGTCGCAATTTGCAAACGGCGCCGTGGGATTCGGCTTCGCAGTACACCGGGACAAGCAATATTTAGTCCAAGGATCGGGCCGCTTAGGCCCGTCCGAAGTCTTTGACGCTGAGGCAGCCGGTGCCCTAGAGGGCCTTCGGGCCGCTCTCCGCCTAGGCAACACAACAAGCAACGTCGTGGTCTGTACCGACAATCTTGCCGTAGCCAGCTGTCTGCGAGGCAACCCAGCCGACTCGTCGCAGGACAAGTTCACCAAGTTCCAAGAACTGGCGACCTCGCACGGAAATGTGCAGGTCCGCTGGATACCAGGACACACCAACATACCGGGCAATGAGGAGGCTGACGGCCTCGCCAAAGCAGGCTGTCTGCAGCCCGAACCACCAGGAGCCATGCCATCGCTGGCCCACCTGCGCCGACGTGCGAGGCAGCAATCGAGAGACGCCTTCAAAGCTTGGTGGTCGACCGAAGCTCCACAGTCATACAAGCCTCTGAACCTCGAGGCGACCGTAAGCTGCCCCCCAGAACTGGCACTCCCAAGAGCAACGCTCCACAGCCTTCTCGCGGCGAGATCTCGCCAAGGAGACTTCGCCGACTACCACGAGCGATTCAATCATGACGACGCACGTCTTGACTGCTCATGCGGACGACGCAAAGCACCAGAGCACCCATTCTACTGCAGGAAGATATCGCCGCGGCTCCGGATGAGGCAGACCCCCTCACCGGCCAAAGTGATACACCATGCAGTAGCAAAGTGCTTCAAAGCCTTCGTCGAAATGACGTCGGAAAGCTCCTTCTTCCAAAGGATTTGTCCGCGCCATTAGGCGACCAGCACCCTCTCTCTTTCCTTTTGTTTTGTGTTTTTGTGTTTCCTCAATTCTGGTCACGGTCGGGCGAAGGGCGTCGGCGCGCCCTCCGCTCGGCTGAGGCCCTCCACTCTAGCTGCGAGGCGGAGCTGGAGGGGAAAAGCCTTCCGAGGCCCATCGCAAGCGATGAGCATAGACAGCGACGTATCGTCGCATGCAACTCTACATCCCGCGGACGGTGTGAGGCTCCGACGAAAGAGCTCCTTGAGCTGATGAGATGCTAGATGGTGTTTGTTTTGAAATGAGGACGCGTTGGCGGATGGATGGATGGATGGATTTATCTCGCCCGGAGGGAGCTCCCTATAGGGCCTAAACGCTTCCTAATTGACAATCTGGGTCGTTTCATTCGTGACACAACAAGCCCTACAGATGAATCCTCGCGCCGCTTGTAGGCCAACCTCTCGTTCGATCCCATGACAGGCCTGCTTGAAGGCCAAGTTCTCCAAGTGTTCAGCATCCTATTCTCAGCAACTGAAGCGCGGTCTGCCATAGTCGAGGTTGTTTTGTTAGCATACTAAGCATGTTATGGGTTAGTGACCGGAGTGGTGCTGGTTGATGCCAGCATTTTCGTCGCAATTGCAATTTGATGGTCGCATGTACGGCTCGCACTTTGTTCTCGAGCACGCAAAAAGGATTCGTCGTTGTTCCGTCCATCTTTTGCACCGAAATAAAAAGTGCTCCGCCGTCTCTGTTGCTTGCCCACACTCGCACAAACTTGACTCCACTGCACCCACCTATCTTGCTGAGATAGCTGTTCAATCGCATCATCCCCGTTCGGAGCTGAGCGAGCACATCTGACTCTCGTCTTCTCAATGAGTCATATAGCAAACGGGTGTGCGTGCCCGGCAGCGCCTTGTCGAGGCGTTTTGAGTGCCTTCCGACACCATCCGGCAGTCGATCGCACGGTCGCCCCCGTGTGAGTGCCAGCCGCAGCTTTGTAGACCTTGCTTAGTATGTTGCTATTCCCGTACCGCCGAGTTCGGCAGCTTGCTGTGCCGCAGCTTTCGCTAGTACTCTCAACGACTGTCTGTTTTCGTTCGCCGGCTCCCACATGAGACCGACAGAATAGCCGCTGATCTGGAGGTGCTTTACGCGGTCATATATTCGACGAACGGTGCATTGCCCAGATTGACGTCCAGGCCGCCTGATGGCTGCCACCACTGATCGGTTGCTTGGTATGATCGTCACATTCCGAGGGGCCAGGTTTGATGGTATCGATTCCAGTGCCATAGCTTTCGCTTCCAGTTCTGCCGTGTACAGATTTTGCTCCCTGCTAGACCCTACAGCGGCGGAACAGGTGGCGATAATGCGGTCTGCGCTGTCACAGCATCGAAGTTGTTCACCAAATTCTTAAGGCTCATGACCGATGCCGTGGGGTCGCGAGACCTTTGATACCCGCTAGACTTGGGTTGTGCTATCCGGCGCGAGTCGTCTTGGAGGATATGTCGCCGAGACTTAGGCATCCCTGACCGGACCAGAGACGCGCTGGCGGCTGAGGCTTGTAATGGTTCCACGATACCCGTGAAACAGGCCGCCTTCTCGTTTCCCTCTATGCTTTCGTCGTCTCTGGTGTCTTCTGCCAGAGAAGTGCATTTAGAAGCGGAGTAAGCTATCGTCAATCTGGGCTGAACCGGGTCCATGCTGTTAGCATTGCTTCCTGCATGATTTTGAGCCGCTTTCGATGCCTGCCGTTGTCTACGTCCGCTGCTGAGTTAGTATCAAGTGGCAGTTGTTGTAGTGTTGACGAACATTGCACGGCGGTATGAGAAAATGTACGCATAGGCGTGCCACATTGGGTCCCTGGCGGATTCCTGCGTTTATAAATTGCCATGAGCTAGGCGCCTTGCTGTGGCTTTCGTGGTGTATGTTCTCTGTGATGAGGGATTTCAGGACTGCTGCGTAGGCGTCCGTAGAGATCGGTTCAAATGCGCAGCCTTGCTTTCTCCAATAGCAATTCTGGCATTTGCCTTCCACTAGCTTCTGAAAGCCACTGCATCTGATCTACGTTAGGGTTAGCCATGCCAATCTAGCCGAAGGTACTCATACGCGACTCACCTTTCGTTGTCTGCAGTACATGCATGCCATAATCGTTCGCCGCGGCCAGGTCGCCATGAGAGCGTACGGTGACGCCGGTTTTGCATACAAAAGTACATCCCGCTGATATTCCATGCTATTATCCTGGACGAGGTGCGCTGCAAATTCTACTTGCTGCGAGATATGAAAGCTGTGTTGATACATCTGCTCAGGCCTTGGGCGTGGCGATTTTGCTTTCCCCCAATTTATTTGTTTGTACCGTGAGCTCTGTACTTCGTCCCCTTGTGGCGAAAACTGACGACGCTCGTCACCGGTGGCGGAACCCGTGTAGTCGAATGAAGGCCGGGGGTGGAATGGTCATGCGTAAGAAGCCGACACATGTAGGAGGGAGACAAAAATGAGGGTACGGGCCTGCGTTTGGGAACAGCGAGTTCCATAACCGAGTATCTCATGGGCAGATGGGGTAACACATGGAAATTATGCCTGCGGGTGATATGGCAGTATCGCAATAATAAACTATCCGGACGGCTACATTAATACGGACACGAATTGTGTGTCGTCCCACTGGCGCCGTTCAGCCCAAGGACCGAGTATCAAACGACCAGGGTGTCGAGAGAGTGCATGAAGTGGTTCCTTGGGCTAAAAGGTCTTGCTAGAACCGGTGCACAGGCCGGAAAAGTTCCTACTGGGGTTAAAAACCGGATCTGGTTGACAGAGCAGCCTGGGCGTCCAATTCGATCTAAATGGAGCGAGCTGCATTGGAGTCAATAAATTGTACTCGACAGTGGATATGACGCTGACAGTTGGCACTAGGGAGACTGGGGGTGACCAGCACCACAGAGCTTACCCAACTGCAGCTAGGGTCTTGTACTAAATGGCGCCTCTGAAATTCTGACTGGGAAATGATGCTAGCGAAGGGAGAGGAGGCAACGGGAGAAGAGGCAACGGGAGAAGAGGCAAGGGGAAACAGGGTGTGCCACTAACTACCCAAAGGGCAGGCGAGCCGGCAAACCTTGCTAGCGCCACTGTGATGTCACATTTCCGACAAATTCAGACGCGTACCTGTCGCTGCAAAAAACCGAGCATTGTGGCTGCGGGGAAGAGGCGTTTCCCCTATTGCGGATAAGGAACGTCGCTCACCGCACGAGAGCCTGCTGTTGGATTTTACCTGTCCCTTGGCCCACCTTTGAAAGCCCATGCATTGTGCTGTAGGCTGACGGTGAAACTCCGCTGCATGTGGGTACTATTTTGGCTTTCGTCTGCATTTCGACGGAGCAACCAAAATGCCGCAAAGACTGGTCCGAGCTCGGGTGGTTAGACAATTCGAGCCATCCGCCGAAGATTCAGCCACAATGGAACCGGCGAGTGACGTGCCTGACCCAGCACGCACCTACTTCGGATCCATGTCCGCCATTCGTACTAGCGTCGAGGGATCACAAGACATATCTCATGACCCGATTTCATTCGCAGCTGCCTGACATATATCCTTTCTGGATGGTGTGAGGTTTCTGATTGCTTTGGGCCTGAGTTTGTGCAACCACCAGCCCACACGGTCCCACTAGACCACGCTTCCGACAAGAGGGTCCGGTTCGCGATGGTGATGGAAGCGGCCGTCAGGTGCTGTCGTTCACGATACTGTGGATTTCAGCGCGTCCCAGTGTAGTCCACGACAATGTTTACCGCATTTGCCTCAGCCGATGGAGCGCCGCGTGGCTTTATGATGAGGACGTCTCTATGCTCTTCGTCCTACTTCCACAACAACTGAGCTTTACTTCCCATTGATTTGACAAATCGCCACAGAGTGTTCGCCAGTAGCACCAGGTCAACGACCAGAAAGATTATACAACGGCAACTGTCGCATGCCACGAATGTACAACTAGCTGACGACCGGGAAGCAGGTACCCCGTGAATCGGGCAACAAGAGAACCATGATAGATCTTCTTTCGAGTGACTGAGTTGAGGTTTGCAATCTGTACTGGTGCAATTGAGCACCTGAGACATGACAGGCAGAAGCCGGGTTGCCTGGCGTTATCGCTGCCGTTACTGGGTAGCAGTGCTGTTAACGATTTTTGTGAACAACGGAACTCCTATACAGGGTCGTGAGGTCCACCGCTGCTTAGGTAGTAAGCTAGGCTTGACGGGCAGTAAACGATTCAAGTACAGCCCGCTAAGACGCTTTGAAGACTTCTCATCCAGATAAATGCTTACATTGATCACTTCAGATCTGACTATCTACTCTGGAGTAATGACTGT